GAATAAAGCTGTCCGTATGTGTGACCGGTGGGCCTGGTTGACTGTTATCAATGCTCCTCTCCGCACTAGTGACTGGAAGTGAGTTTTCGTAAGGATTATCTAGCTTACTCAATCCACCGTGATCAAACGTGAGTGTACGTTTGTTTCGCCTTGATAGCAGGGGACGACTGTGGCTAGTCGCAGTGGAAGAGCAGGGTGACGGAAGAAAGCTGTCATTCTCCTTCGCATTCTCCGAACAATCCGGCTCGGCTTCGGAACTGGAATAGATTTTACACTCCTGAAGGGGCACATGGCCTGGAACGAAGAAATATCCGAGAAATAAAAGAATTTGTTTTAGGAATAGTAAAGAGGCGTAACACTTTGCAGGCCATTCAGTTTCATTCAGTCTCTCAGCGGGTGTTCGAAATCATGATTATACCCGGTGGCACATAAAGAAAATCATGTGTTAAAATGCATGTTCACCAAGCTACACGGCTATATTCTTCCACCGATGAGCACAAATGCTAGCTCTGGCAAGGAACATCTACACATGTGGAGTCTTCGGTCGAATCTGAACTGATGTGCGCACGGGAGAGCGACATCATGCACTTGGTCAACCTGTACATGTCTGTCTCACTATCCACGTGTCTTGACGAATGGCGAAGGTCAAACAGGCCACAGGCGCACCAACGAGTGAGCGTGTACAGACACACGGGCCGAGGCGTGAAAGAGCGTATCGCAAGCGCAGGTGATGAGCGGATTTGTCTAAAACCACCACTCTATCGTGTCGTGGAAATATTTCGGCCGATGCTAGTCCGAAATGAGGCGATTAACTGTCACGTACGATTGATAGCTCCAATGAGTAGCGGAGCCATAATTGTCGACTAAAATATACATTTGCCGTCAGTGATCGAAACCAACGAAATAGTGAAAACGTGCATCAAACAGCCTGCGAAGTGTGGGTTCTAAAGCGTATCTAAAAATAACAGAATTCAAAGCGAAGAACCAAGGTAGCTTTCAGAAAAACTTTAAAAATGTTAATTGGTGAAACAAAGCGGTTGTATATGTGAATAAGCATATGCTCATAGCTTCACTGTAATCAAAATATTGAATGCAGGGCAAACAAAAATGGCTTAACTCAAAACATCAATACGAAATGGTCATCACTTGATGTACTTCCAAATCTGAGTATTTTATAACTGTTGGAGTGTTATGGATAGCGATCAGCAAACCTTTGAAAATCCGGAAAAGCCGTTACCATGAAAAATATAAAACTTCCGAGTAACCCGTTTAATTTCAGTTTCTACATTATATATATATATATATAGCCACACAAACTTTGACCGCTTTTCAGATGCGAGGATATCATAAGCTTTCGCGGGAATCGAGTTCACGCCAGTCAAAACCACATACAGTTTCATACTACCATTGGTGAACTATAATAAGGAACGATGTTTTCAATTCCACTCATTATGAAGAATGAATTTCAAGTGTTTATCATCTATTATAGATCTGCTGTATACCCAAACCTAATTGCAGTAAACGAACCAAACATATTGTTTGTCTCCAAGCGCGAATGCATTACCGCTCATTTTTTCTTCTTAATTTGTGTTGTGTGTATTTACGATTCACTAACTATACCAAACGGTAAAACATGCGATGGTTCACGTTCAAAGAAATCATAGCGTCACGTCGGCGTTTTATGTGATTACTCACAGATCCCGCACGACTGCATTAGATCAGACTGGGTTTTTTGATAAATTCCTGTATGCTTCTAAGAATGTCGGCTGTGTCCGATATGAAAAACTATGTTGTCTACTTTTCTATTATAGTCTCAATTGTTAGAGAAAGCTTTTGGGGCCTTTTGCATTCGCCTATGTGTGGGGAATACTGGAAAATGAGTGTAATTTTATTCAAGTTCAATCAATCGAACCGACTGCCTAGCGTTAAATGCATGTTAGCAGACGCACTGACCATGCGCTCTAACGAGGGAGAGCCCAGTGAAACTTCAGGTGAATTTATCAAGCGTACTTTACCAAAACCCCGCACATTGATTGTTGCTTCGCTGGTCATAAGTCACCCACTGAACCGAATCTGCACTACCGTCCATTCAGAATGCACAGATTTTTCCATAAACACATGAAAGTACTTTTGCTTGAGGATGAAGGTTCCGGTTGGATGAGGTCTGACTGTTTACCCCGTCCTCGTGACCTTCACGGTTGTTCAAGTGAGCTAGAGACGAGAATGTACGCATGCGGCGGTACGCTTCCGCTATTGAGAGGATGAGAATGTGAGTCACGTCTAAATGAATTTATAAGTATGTCACCATGCTCAGGTGTGAATGCTTACTTTACTCACTCCTCTCACTAGGCTTACCTAGGTCGTGAATAGCCGAACGAATAACTTTCATTGAAATCGAGGTCCCCGGAATTTCATTACTTCTTCTGAACCAAATGAAACTTCCTACATACTTTTGCTATTGAAAGACAGTTGATAAAAACGGTTAGCAACGGCACTCAGACATTGGGGATGAGCTTGTGGTCTTTCATCCAGATATCTTGTCTTTACTTGGCTCTCATGAATTAAACTTCTGCCACTATAATTCCTGGATGGACTACTGCCTTCTATCTGCAGTGCGATTGGTGCTGACCGAAAAGCGGCAGTCACTCATCCTTGTGGAAGCGATTACATTTTAATCACATCTTCTCGGAACCCTTTTACACTTTCCTGAGCTTTAAAGTTGAATGAATGAGAAAGAAGTTAGTACGAATAATCTACAGCTACTGAGTGTCAAAAGAGTGATATCAGCTTCGTACCAAATGCTTCAGGGGGTTCATATTATGAAAGTTCAATATTCGATCAGTGGTGGTCTTAGGGATAAGGCTGGTGGTACATAGCTCCATTGACCGCAGAGTCTAACAGACCCACCGTCTCCGAACAATGTGGTCATCTCTTCGAACAAAATAAACCTGTACAAAACTACAGTGGGAACTTCGCACCGGCAACCACATCAAACGTTTCCGCTCTTTGAGGTAAAAATAATCGTTGGAATTAGACTGGTGCACAAAATTCTAAGACCCACAGATACTATCTATTAGCTGAGTTAACACAATACGTTTCCGTTGAGCAATTACGCAGTTTGTGTAAAAGCAAAACGAAAGCGGTCTGATCATTTATTCGTCCAACGGTCAAGTGGTTCGTATGTTCTACCGGGGTTATATTCAAATTAAGATCGATAGATTTCCACAGCTGATCAGAACTAGTCAGTTTTACGATGCATCTCAGCTATTCTGTTCACGACTCATTTGCGCTGTAGCCGAATAAATCCAATATATGGAGAAGTCTCTCCATTGCGACTAGACGGGTTGTTTAAGAGACCCGCTCTAATGTGTGACGGCCGGAGTACCAGTCACTTTGTGGGGTTCCCAGTAGAATGCCGTGGGTGGATTCACATGAAATGATTACGGATTTACTTAAGATTAAGATGTATTCAACTGCACTTACAACGGTTTGATTTGCAATTGAAAAGTTATTGATGAATTGACGATTGCGCGTGGCAAGGGTTTTTGAAGAATGGTCTTTTAAATACATGCATCATTGGTTTCACAGTACTGTTGACAAGTGACTGTAAATCAACTACGTGTGGTAAATGCTTTTGGACAACTGTTTCATCCGGTTTGTTACTCGATAGCATTGCATTGCTCCTTGTCTCTGCCAGGATTAGAGACGCGAGGTAACCCCCCTACCCTTGAGTTACACGGACAACCCGTGTGGTTTTTCTAAGCACTAGGCACTGTAAATTATCTTCAATGTGGCTTTTACTGCTCGGGAAGTCGCTATTTCCCGCCATTTGAATGTAGTTAAATGCGATATAAATTTCTGTGGTGACCAAAAATTAGCATGCATCAACCGTTTCGTTGTGTTTCGTTCCAAAATCAACGACAATGCCTAGCGCTGGCGATCCAAATATTCACCCACTAAAGTTACCGTGATTTCAAAACGGGAAAAGAACTACTTGCGAATAAAACATAAAGGGATTGCGTACAACACAGTAAAACAGAACCCCCAAGTATAGGAAAAGTTGAACGTGGTTGGATTATCCCGTTTGTTGAGAAACACAAAAGGAATTAATCAGGCGCAGTCACTTGCTATGGATAAT